TCAGACTCTTCCATCTCACAGAGGAGACTTGGGATGGGCTGGTCCCCACAGTCCCCAGGGTTGCTTTGTGTTGTTAAGCCCCCCAGCCAGGGAGCATGGGCACACCAGAAGCCTAATCCTGCCCCCAGAAGGCTCCTGATCTAAGGTCTAGGCCTCTTGATTGGGAATAGTCAGGTTCCCATTGCAGGAGGGGGGGCAGGGTCTGAGGCTAGGCAGCCAGGACCCTGTGGGTACCAGGCACCAGGCTGGAGGTCAGCTGGAATGAAGACCCGGACATCAGGGCATCTCCTTTTGGTGTAGGGTCTCAGATGCCCCTGGTGCTGTGGCCACCTGGAGTCAGCCACGCCCACTTTTATAGCCTTGGATGGTCACTCATACAATGCATCAGGAATGGTCTTATGTGCTCGTTTGTTTTGTCTTATCTTTTTATGATTGATTAAGTGTGTGAGTGTTTTTGCCTGCCTATGTATGTATGTATGTATGTATGTATGTATGTATGTATATGTACATCATCTCATGCCCGGTGTCTGCAGAGGTCAGAAGAGGGAGATCAGAAGCTCGGGGACTTAAATTACAGATAGTTCTGAGCCTCACCGTCTGGTTGCTGGAAATTGAATCCAAGTCCTTTGCAAGAGCTACAGAAGCCCTTAGGCTATCTCTGTAGCCGCTGCTTGTCAGGGTTGTGTTATTATTTTCCAGAGATGGGGCTTCGCTGGAGTTGAGACTGCCTCCCGAACTCTGAGATTACACTGACATGCTGCCACATCCATTTAGGAGGGCAGGGGGGGGGGTTAGTACCCTCAAACTCACTGTGTAATGGAGATGGCCTTGATCTTCCCTGTCTCAGCCTGCCCAGCTGAGATCACGCTTGTACACACACACACACACACACACACACACACACACACACACACACACCCCGCACCATTTTAGGAAGTTTTTTTTTTTTTTTTTTTTTTTTTTTTATCATCAGTTTGCAGATAAGCCTGGGAAATCAGCCTGGAAGGCACGTAGTTCAGGTTTTGTTATCAGCTCACAGGCTCCTGCCCTACGTGCCTGTCCGCCTGTCTGTCCTTCCCGAAAAGCGGCCTGCCTTGTCCTGTTTCTCTCTGTCCCTTTCCGAACCCTCCCAAGTCACCCAGAACATGCTCCTCTCGAGGCCCTCTGACCTGGCTCCAGCTCCCACTGTCCTTCTGGGCATGTCACTGGCCCCCAGGGAGGCCAGCTCAGTCCAGCCTCGGGGCCTGAGGGACTATCTAGCAAGCCAAAGTAGGACTGGGATCTCTGTTAGTCCACCCACCCACATCAAAAGGAGAGGTGAAGGACCAGGGCTGGGCTCATTCCATAAGTTCACCTAGCATTCACCAAGACCCAGAACTGGGCTGTAGGATGTGTGGGACTTCTGTTACCTCTAGGTTCGGTGCACAGACAAATGAAGAAACGGTGGGGGAGGGGGCCAAGAGAGAAGCTAGACCTGGGGATAGGGAAAGGCTTGCCTCATAGGATCCTGCCTGGAGAAGACAGCTACAGAGGGGAGCATGGACATGGGGTATTTTCTTGCACTAGAAATGCATAGATAAGTATATGCTGTACCCATAGGTCCACTTGTGACCGAGAAAGCGGGGGGGGGGGGAGGAGGGGGCGGCAGCGGCAGCGGCGGGGCTCAACTGGTAGAGCATTTGCCTACCTTGCATGAGGCCCTGGGTTCTATGCCTAGCGTAGCCAAAAATGAAAGAAAAAAAAAAAAAAAAACAGGTCTGGATATGGTGGTACACCCCTTTAATCCCAGCACTTGAGGCAGAGGCAAGTAGATCTCTGAGTTTAAGACTAGCATGGTGTACATAGCGAATTTCAGGACACCCAGGGCTATATAGAGAGACCCTGCCTCAAACAAAGTAAATAAAACCAAGAATATTTCCAAGTGTTTATTTAGTCATTCTGTGTGTATAGGTGGTTTTATCTGCATGTATGTCTGAGTACCATGTGCATGCCTGATGCCTCAGAGGCCAGAAGAGGGCATCCAATCCCTTGGGACTGGAGTTACAGGTGATTGTGAACCACCCTGTAGAGGCTGAGAACTGACCCCGGTCCTCTGTAAGAGCAGCCAGTGCTCTTAACTACTGAGCCGTCTCTCCAGTCCCATAGAGTGTAAAAGTCAGCACCGTTGTCCATGGCTGGAGACAGCTCATGGGGATGAAAATGGTGGCTTGGGCAGAGGCTGCAGGTGAAGAAGCCACTAGATAGTCCCCAGCTGTAGCTCAGGCCCCTGTCCCCTCCCCTGCTCACCGAGCAGTGGCCATGGTCCTTTCTCATGACACCTTTAATCGGTACATGTGAGGAATTTCCACACCTGATCACTGCTTATGTCATGCCTGAAACTGGAAGAGAGAGGCCCCTACGTTTCTCTTATAAACTGTCGCAGACTTATAAAATCCAATAGCATTTTTCCTCATTTGTAACAACAACAACAAGAATGAAAGAAGCTACAGGCAGCTGACATGCAGTAGCTTTCTGAATCAACTGTACTCCATCGTAGTCATCTCCCCCCACCCACCTGCCCTCTGTGTGTGTGCGCGCGTGCGCGCGCACGTGTGTGGCATGTGCGTGTGTGTCCGTGTGTGTGTGCATGTGTATGTATGTATGTGTGCATGTGTGTGTGCATACGTGTATGCATGTGTGTGCATATGCGTGCGTGCATGTGTGCGCATGTGTGTGAGTGTGTGTGTACATGCGTGTGTGAGTGTGTGCGCATGTGTGTGCGCATGCGAGTGTGCATGTGTAAGTGTGCTGCATGTGTGCGTGCGTGTGAGTGTGTGGGCACATGTGTGGGCAAGTGTGTGGGCATGTGCATGCATGTGTGCATGTGTGTGCTGCATGTGTGTGTGCACGCGTGTGTGTGAGAGTGTGTGTGTGTGAGAGAGAGTGGGTGTGTGGGTGTGTGCATGCATATGTGTGAGTTTCGGTGTGTGTGTATACACTCTGGCATACTCACAGATGTGCACAGATAGCAGAAGCCAACTTCATGTGCTCTTACTGTGGGGCCATCTGCCCTGTTGCTTAATTTGCGCTTGCACGTGTGTATGTGTGCATGTGTGCATGTGTGTGTGAGTGTATGTAAGCAAATGTCATATGCCGTGGGTGGAAGATGAGGTCAGAAGAGGGTGTTGGAGTTTCCGGAGCTGAGTTACACAGGCAGTTGTGAGTCACCTGACGTGGGTGCTGGGAACTGAACCAGGGTCATCTGGAAGAGCATCGAGTGTGCTTCACTCCTGAGCCATCTGTTCAAGTCCCCATTGGCCATATGTATTCCATTTTTCATTCTTTTGGAGATAGGGTCTCTCATGGAGACCACAGAGACCCCAGCCTGAGCAGGTTAGGCGGCTTCCAAGAGTGGCAAGACTTTACCGCTTCTACTTCCCGGTGCTGTGGTTATAATCACATGCCTGTCCTGGAACTCGCTCTGTAGACCAGGCTGGTCTGGAACTCACAGAGATCCACCTGCCTCTGCCTCCAGAGTGCTGGGAGTAAAGGTGTGCGCCACCACTGCCCAGCCAAAGGCCGGCTTTTATGTGGGCTCTGGGGATTGAACTCAGGTCCTCGCGATTACACAGCAAGCATTTTACTAACTGATCCATCACCCTGGTCCCTCAATCCTACTTTTCAAAAGTCAGCCTCAGGCATCACTTGATGGATGACACAACTCTATTTTAGGTTAGCAACAGTCAGAAAATGACTTTGGATTTGTCAAGGTGCTAAAAATAACCACCCTGTCTACCATCCGTCTGAACTGTCTGTCTCTGAGGCAAAAAACGGCTTTTCCACTTTTCCATTCTTTTCCTGTTTCCCATCCATCCCCTGGCTCAGCTCCACACCACACATTATAGTGGGAAATTCTACTTTTTCTTATTTTTTCACTTTTAACGATTCAGGTTCAGGTGTCCTTGGCGGCCGGAGGCATCCAAAACTGGTGAAGCTGAAGTTACAGGCAGTTGTGGGCCACCCACCCTGGGTGCTGGGAATGGAACTCCAGTTCTTTGTGAGAACAGCAAGCACTCGAGTGCTGAGCCCTGTCTCCAGCCTCCTTTATCCCTGCCCCCCCCACGCCCCACCCCAGAAACTAGGTTTGAGACAGGGCCTCCTTATATACTCTAGGCTGGCCTGAAGTTCAGTACAGACCAAGCTGACCTTTGACCCATGCCAATTCTCCTTCCTCAGTCCCGTGTTGTCATGACAGGTTGTGTGCCACTACGCCTGGCTGCCATTGGTCATTAATTGTGTCATTCCCTCAGTTTTTGTCTCTCTATCTTGATGGCCAACATCCGGGGGCAAGGGCGATGACAGCCCCTGTGTAAGGCAGGTTCTCTGGCCAGCAGGCAGGGATGGGCCACCTATCACCTTTCGGCTCCTTGGTGGGTTCCTAGAACACAGGCATGCTTTGACCTGAGTCCTTTCAGACGGCATCTCTGGGCAAAGATGGCTCTGCCACACTTACTGGCCCCTGGGCCTACTTGCAGCCCCTTTGCTGTCCTACAGCCTGGCTAGTTTTAGACTCTTTCGTCCCCCATAACCACACCCCAGACTGCCTTTAACAACTAGCCAAGGACGCTTGAAATTCTAAGGCCTCCGGGCACTCCACTCTCCCCCATGGACCGGGGTCAAGGGGTGTGACACTGGACCCAGCTACAGTCCCTTTACCCCTGTGCAAAGAGAAGTGAAGAACTTGGAGCCAGGCTGCAGGAGAAGATTGGGTTGGAGGTCGTGGGGGTGGGGGGCGGCCTGGTGGCCTTCAGGGACAAGGCCTGAGTTCCACCCAGAGTCAGGGCCCATCAGGCCAAACACCGCACAGCCGCCTTTTGGGGAACCGGGGCTGCGTGGGTGCGGCCCCAGTGGGCAGTCAGGTACGCAGCGCGCGTGGCCCTGCGGCGCAGCGTGCCAGGTGGTGCGGGAAGCCCACGCCGTGCCAGGCTGGGCACAACAAAAGCCGGGGTTCTGGGGAGGGCTGGGCGGCGCGGGAGGAGGGCTGCTGGGAGCGCCCGGCCTGCACTGGCCGCCAGCCACCGAGAGGAGGAGCAGAGGATCCTCGGAGCGCAATAAAACGGCGGCTCGGCCCGAGCCCGCAGCAAACACAGCCATAGAAGGCAGCGGAGGAGCCCAGCCGGGCTGCGCTCGCTCGCCGCCCCCCAGCCTCTTTCTTCTCCGCCGGGTGCACTGCCCCGCACTCTCCCCTCGCCGCTTCCCCCCGACACAAAGAGGACAGAAAGTTTGCGCGGGGGAGCGGGCCAGGTGAGGAGGGGCGTGCCCGGCCCCCCAGCCCGCGCCACAGCAGCCGGACACAGGCCCCCAGCGCGCCATGGGCGCCGCGGCCCGCAGCCTTCGCCTGGCGCTCGGCCTCCTGCTGCTGGCCACGCTGCTGCGCCCCGCCGACGCCTGCAGCTGCTCCCCGGTGCACCCGCAACAGGCGTTTTGCAATGCAGACGTAGGTAAGCGGCCCACCACCCTGCCGGTGCAGCTGGCTGGGGCTCCCTCTGCCATCCTGCAACTGAGCGCCCCAAGCGCACTTTCTCCCTCCCCCGTTCCTCTTTCTTTCCCTCTCTGAGCTGGGAGATGCTTGACGACCTCAAAATTCCACCGAAATTCCGCAGCAGCTCCGGCCCCAGGAAGGGGAGCCAGGGAACGCTTGGGTGTTGGCAGGCGGCCTCCCTGGGATGCCAGTGCTGGGGGCGGGGAGTAGGGGACATGCGGGGGTGCGGTGGCTAAAGGACTGGAAACCCCGGGAAGAAACTTCCACAGGTGCGGGGGTGGCTGTGCGAGGAGGGCTTCTCTGCAGCCATTTGGGAGTTTTTGCGTTTAGCAGGGCAGAATGGAAGCCCCTTGCGCAGATCCCGTGAGCTCAGAGGGACCGAGGGAAGCAGCTAGAGTCCACTTCCCTGCTGCGTGTCCCCTGGAAGGCCCCACCAACAGGGCCAGGCAGGGTCCAGAGCCTGAGTATTTGCTGCTGTGGACTTTTTTTTCACAATGTAGAAACACACACACACACACACACACACACACACACACACGGGCTGGGGGGCTGACCTGGTGAATATGGGGGTCACGGGATTGTATGACTGGCACATATGTTACCCTCAGGACTCCTTAAGGCAGAGGGTGGGTACTGGTGAGCCAGGTAGGAGGGGCATGGATAGTTGTGTGTTGTCCTGGAAAAGCTGATAAAAGTGGAGGCTCAGCCTGGAGATGACCTCCTGGAGGCCCCTCCCGCACCGACTAACTGGGGTATCCAGCAGGTGAGGCACTGGCTCCCACCCCACCTTCCCTGTGGCCTTGGCTTTTATGCCCGATCTACCTGCGTACCCTGTGCCCCTCTTGCCGCCTTTCCCGTGGCTCCTTGCCCCACCCTGGTTAGCTCTTTGGAGGTGTGTTTAGCGGATCCCAAACACGGGGCTCCCTAACTCAGCCTACCTGGGCATAAGGTATGACGTGTGTGTGTGTGTGTGTGTGTGTGTGTGTGTGTGTAGTGATTTGCAAATACAGTCAGATTTGAGGATAACGAGATCTTTTGTCCAGTTTAGCTCGGACAGTCAGCAAAATTTGGGGTTGAGGAAGTAGCCCCTTCCAACGAGGGACTCCTTTGGGAGTACAGGCTCCCAAGGCCCGTTTGTAGAGACCTCCCTTCTGACCAGCAAGTTGTGGGGAACTCAGTGAAAAGTAGCATGCAGGACTCAGGGGCCTGGTTCACAGGGGCTGGGTGGGGACGAGCTGGCTTGAGATGCCCACACTGTTAGCTGCAAGCTGGGAGACACTTAGACTCTTCCGTCTGTGCCCGTACAAGGCAGCACCAGGCTGGGCGCTGCACTGGTCTGGTCTGGACCAGAGGTCCAAGGCTCTTGTCAGAGCCTAGCAGCCCCTTCCTGCTTGCACACTGCTCTCCTCTGCCCAGATTTCCCAGCATTCCCACCCAAAGCATTCCCTCTGAGTCACCACGAAGCCAAGGCTTTGTACTCATCCCAGCAGAGAGCCCGTCCTGTAGCAGACCTGAGTCTCCTGGGGCTGCTGTGACAGATGACAGATGACCACAAATAGGTGCCCCAAAGCAATGGAGCTGACTGTCTCATGGTCCAGGAGTTCCGAAGCCTGAAATCCAGGTGCTGGCAGGGCTGGCTTCTTTTTGGGGTCTGAGGGGAGGCCTGGCCCAGGCCTCCCCTCCCAGTTTGGAGGGGAGCACTCCTGATACTCCTTGGTGGTCTTGGGGGCATAGTGGATGAACCCACTTATGGTCTACATATGGCTAAGCCCCTCTTAGAAGGACTCAAGCCATTGGAGTCAGTGTCTGCTTGAACCCATTTTGATAAGATTACATCCACAGAGACATCCCAACAGGGTTATAGTCAAGGGTCTGAGCTTGGAGGAGCTTGGAGGAGCGGTCCACTGAGTACAGCCAGGTGTTCTGTTAGCCCTGCCCGCCCTCTCGAGGACTGGCCAGGCTTGTCTGAAAAGTGGCTGCCACTCTGGGTAGGGGATTGCACCAAACCCACCATGTCACTATTGGACTGCCGCAGAATTCTGTTCTCCGGGAAGCGGTACAGATTCGTGACTTGCTCAGGGGGTCGTCCTGGTCTGGCCAGGGTCAGAACTGCCATTAACTCTCTTGAGTTCCCACACTGATACTGAAGGCCTGGCCCAGACTTGAGCTGCTGTAGTTATCAAAGCATCTCAGATTTTGTACACCTTGAACCATGACCCGGGAGCCTGGAAAGGGTGCACATCGGGGGTTAATAAAGGCTAGCCTTTCCTGTGGCTGCCGACTGGCTCAGCATCTGTCTGGGAATGGATTCCTGGGAGGGATCTCTCTGCCAGTGGCAGGTCTGGAGTTATGGTGGGCAAAGAGCACCGTGTGACACTTCTTATGGAAGGGATAGAAGATGGCCCAGCCCACTCTGCGCTTTCAGGTCAGGACACAGAGGAAACGTGTCTGTGTCCTAGCGCTGCTCAGACACGCTGCTGGTCTGATTCTCTTGCCTAATGGAATCTTTCACCACCTCCTGCAAGCAGTGGAACCTGGAGTGGCCGAATCTGTGGCTGAGCTACTTGGCAGACTGCAACTACTTTGTCTGCTTTCTGGAATCAAGGGTATTGAGGAATTGGGGAAGGTGGATCCGCCCCCTCTGCCCAGGTAGTGAGGCTTGAAGCCATAGTGAAGACCCAGAGGGCCAGGTATGGGTCTCCGGGAGATCAGGGTGAAGACGTGCTGGCTTGCTGTGGGACCTGTTTGTATTTGTGGACGTGGTGATGGAGACAGAGAGGAAGGAGTGGCCACCCCAGAAAGCCTGCAGCACACTTAGTAATAACTTTGTCTCTGTTGACGCCTATAAAAAGCAAAGCAAGGCACCGCCAGGCCCTCCCTGTGAGCCTTGCGGGTGGTGGCTCTCTGAAGAAACTGGTGGCAGCAACTGCGGGCTCTTCCTGGGTCCCCAGACATGTAGTTTTCATGTCGGGCTTGTCTGTATCAATGAACAAGTCCGGAGTTCTGCCGTCCAGGGATGTAAGAGAGGCATGAGCCACTAGGAAGAGAAACACCAAACACCAGGTCAGGGAACAGTAGAGGTGGGTTTGAAGGGTAGGAGGCACACACAGACCCTTGCCAATTGCCAGTAGATGGCCAGTGGAAGGCGTAAAGAAAGTCAGACTTTGTGCGGTTCCTGAAAATGATTAACTCAGGTGATAAACTTGCCAAATTCAGGGGTAAGCACATAGCAGCGTGAAATGGATTTGCAAGTTACAAAGGTAAGAGCTCCGATGGCCACTGAGGAGGGGTGGTGGGTGGTGGCCCACTTTGACTAGAAGATGTCCCGGCTGGGTATCTTCTGCTGGGGCGGGTGTGCACTCCGAGTCCCTGGCAGCTCTCCCAGGGTTGGAGCTATAGAGAGATGAAGTGTCAGTCAAGCAGGGAGGGGCGGCCCCTCCCACACCACATAGTTGAGCTCAGTGCCAGCCTGGGACCCCGCTCAGGTCTCTGAAACTCAGATCTACTGGTGTGCTGGGGAAGCGCTGGCCTTCTCAGGCCTCACCTCCATGTGGCCTCCAGGTGGCTCTGAGTAAGAACTTTACATGGGTCTGTACGTAGGAGGGGCAGCTGCCTGAATCTGGTTGGGATCTTAGCCTAATGACGAACACTGTGGGCTGCTTGCACTGGAATACATTTGAGAGCTGTGTTTCAGGGCTCCAGGAATCTCAAGGGGGGGGGGGGGACACCAAGGAAAGAAACAAAAGGAAGAAGGGAAGGAGGAAGGTACAGCCGTCTGGCAGATGGAGGCGGGCCATGCAGGAGCCCTTCCCAAGCCCCGGAGAAAGACTCAAACACTTGCAATGCATGCTCCTCTGCCCCTGCTGCATGCACACGCCTGGGACCAGGCAGCCCATGGCTAGGACGGTATTTCTCTAGAGGAAGGGAGACATGGAGGACACAGACTGGAAAAGAATGCTCCAGGCGTGGCTAAGTGCACCGTTGATGGTGTCAAAGGTGATCACCATTGGTGGATGGGCTGGATTGAGGTAAGAGAATTGTAGGTGCACAGTGGTTGAGGAAGAGGCAGGAAGCGGCTGCTGGTGCAGATTGGGGCCAAGTGTGTCCCTCTGACTGGTCCCATGGTCACATGGCACATCCTATCCCACAGTGGACCCACACATCCCCGAGTTCACAAGGGCTGTGGATTGGTGGCTGGAGTCATCAACACCTGGAACCTTGAGACCTGAGTGTGGTCACTGGGATTTTTAAGACTGCCCAGGCAATTCCACTCATGTTCTGCCCACGCCGGTGCCCAGCAGTGGGGTCCCCAAGACAGTAGTGTGACAGCAGCAGAGGTTAGAGATGGAGTGACGAGCGAGCGTCGTGTTTACTCAGACGCAGTGTTTAATGGCGACCTGTCGGATGAGAGTGCCTGGCTAGGGTCTTGGTTTGGTTGCCTGCAGGGGATGAGTAAAAACAGTGGAGCCTGTGAGCGTCCCCAGGTTTGGTCGAGGGGAGTCAGGCAGATGAGAGGCTGTGACACCAGGAGGTCAAAGCACAGGGGGGAAGGTAGATTTCTAGACCAAGCATGACCAACATGCTCGGTGTGCCACAGGAGGCTTCGGTGTAAGAGCCAGCACCTGCAGTCCTAAACCCCTTGGAACACATTCAGCTGAACACGCCTCCCGCCTCCCAGTCGGAGCCGGCTGCTGTCCCAGCCGGAGGGTGGGGGTGGGGGTGGGGTGGGGGTGGGGTGGGGGGTCTCTATCATTGCTCGGATGTGCAGGAGTGGAAGGGGACCTCCCACACAGTGAGCTGCCCCTGGTGTGTTAAAGGGTTGGGGTCCCCAATAAGGCAGTTTGGGAGCATATTCTACCGTGCAAATCGAGAGGTGGCTTTTTTCAAGACAGGGTTTCTCTGTGTAGCCCTGGCTGTCCTGGAACTCAACTCTGCAGACCAGGCTGGTCCCCAAGGCAG